ACCCTGAACACTGCTTTCCATCAATTTGTATAGCAGACCCTTATGCCATATTGAGTCAATTAGGTTGTGCAGGGTGAATACATGGTCTGTCGTACGGTAATTTGGTAAAAAGCCAATTTGACATTTGCTCAGTACATTGTTTTCACTGAGGAAATGTACAAGTCTGCAGTTATTGATAATGCAAAATATTTTCCCAAGGTTGCTGCTTACACATATCCCACGGTAGATATTGGTGTCAGATTTGTCTCCACTTTTGTGGATTGGGTTGATCAGTCCTTGGTTCCAAATATTGGGGAAGATCCCAGAGCTGAGGATGACGTTAAAGAGTTTAAGTATAGCCAATTGAAATTTGTGGTCTGTATATGTTATAATTTCATTTAGGATACCATCAACACCACAGGCCTTTTTGGGTTGGAGCGTTTGTATTTTGTCCTGTAGTTCATTCAATGTAATTGGAGATTCCAGTGGGTTCAGGCAGTCTTTAATAGCTGATTCTAAGAATTGATCATGTATATGTTTTTGCTGTTTGTTATTTGTTATAGAGTCAAAACGATTGGAGAGGTGGTTTATCCATAAACCTTCAGTTTGGATAGATAACTCTTTGTGTTATTGTTTGTTTAGTGTGTTCCAATTTTCCCAGAAGTGGTTAGATTCTATGGATTCTTCAATTAAATAGAGCTGCTTTCTGACATGCTGTTCCTTCTTTTTCTGTAGTGTATTGCTGTATTGTATTAGTGATTCACCATAGTGAAGGCGAAGGCTCAGGTTTTCTGGGTCTATGTTTTTGGTTGGATAGGTTTCTACATTTATTTCTTAGGCTTTTGCATTCTTCATAAAACCATTTGTAATTGTTGTTAATTTTCTTAGGTTGTCTGTTTGAAATGTTTAGATTTGATAATGAAGCTGAAGGGTCAAATGTACAGTTTAGGGTTTCTACTGCCAAGTTTACACCTTCACTATGACAGTGGAACGTTTTGTCCATGAAGTTGTCTAAAAATATTTGAATTTGTTGATGCCTAATTGTTTTGTGGTAGGTTTATACACTACTTTCCTTCCATCTATAGCATTTCTTAATATTATTCAGTTCCTTTGGCTTTGATGCCCTCTCTCTCTCTCCACTACACCCCTATCACTCCTCTTTTATCCCTCTATCCCTGCATTGCCAATGCTTCTAACCCTTTGTGTTCGCTGAAGGATGTGTAAAGGGCGATCCAGAGGTGTCCTGATACTTCCTCCATCCTTCCCTCATCCTTCCTCATATTTCCCGCTCCAGCTTTTAAAAAATGGCTAATGGCCCTGCATAAGTAGCCATTGGGAAATCAGCCTCTTTCTCGCTCTCCTCTCCTCTTCTCTCTCTCTCTCTCTCTCTCTCTCTCTCTCTCTCTCTCTCTCTCTCTCTCTCTCTCTCTCTCTCTCTCTCTCTCTCTCTCTCTCTCTCTCTCTCTCTCCCTCATCCCTCTGCTCCAGCACCATTGCCTCACTTGATGGGCTTGAACCTCATGCCCCCCCATCCCCCAGACATCTCCCCTCCCGTCCACCCCTCCTCTTTACCCCCTGCTGTCACTGTAAAGTCTCATCACTCACCCCACAAAGCCTCCAGAGCCACCAGCCAATAGAGAGGCTTACTGAGCCCCTGATCCCTCCCACTGGGCGACATCATGACAGCATCTAGTCTCAGAAATGACGTCATATTGATAGCCAATCAGAAAACTGAATAAGGAGGACGTTTAAAATGCATCCTCAGCAGACAGCACTGGTAATGTTGATTACGTTAAAGTAATATCAGACTGATGTTTCATCAGTGTTTCTAAGTTTGTGTGTGCATTTACATGTGTGTGTCTGTGCCCATACGTGTGTGTGCTTGTGTGAACCAGAGAGTCAACTAGGTGTTATCTAGTGAAGTAAAGGTTTATGTAAGGCCTGAGATGAAAGAGTCAGAGAGACCAGAGGGAGCAGAGTAGAGGGAATCCTCCTCACAGCTCTTCACCACCACACTAATACTGCCTGTCTCTCCTCTCCCCCGGGAATTATGGGGAGGGAGGGAGGGAGGGAGAGGGGGGATAGAGATAGAGAGAGAGAGAGAGAGAGAGAGAGTGACAGACAGAGAGACAGAGAAAGAAGCAGTGGGTTAGAAGAAGAGAGAGAGAGAGAGAGAGAGAGAGAGACCGAGAGAGAGAGAGAGAAGAGAGAGAAAGAAGAGAGATGAGAGAGAGAGAGAGAGAGTTGAGAGAGAAGAGAGAGAAGAGAGAGGAGAGAGAGAGAGAGAGAGAGAGAGAGAGAGAGAGAGGACGTGTAGCTCCACTGTGGAGAAGCATCCAGCTGTAGATTATGCAGCGCTGACGCCGTGTGGTCTGCGAACTTCAAAGTGAATGCACGTGCGTCTCAGATGGTATTTTTGTGTCTGAAATGGTATGTGCTCGCGCAGCCTGTAGACGTTTGTTGATCTAGTGTATCGCGTGAGCCAGTAGCTTTGTTCCAGGCCGTCAGTGTGCTACGCACGTACCAGTCGGCGCACTAGCTCTGGTCCAGGGCGTTATGTGAATCACTGTTGCTTGTGCAGTTAGCTAGTACACGGGAGGACACAGCTGATGCTTAAACCGACTAGCCAAAACTTAAAACTGACCCTTACCTTAATCAAATACTGACCCTTAAACTAATTTTTATACGTTCTGAAATTAAATATTGGTTTGGGCATCAGGTGTGTCCTCATAGCCTTTCCCCTAGTACACACTAGCTAGGCTAGCTAGCTGGTGCACTCTAGCTAGCTAGTACACACTAGCTATTACCTAGCTTTTCATTCTAAATGTAATTTCACCACCCGTGCTGTTGGTGGCGGTAACGCACCATCCTCTCTGGGACCATTCGACATCCTGTCTGAGCTCGCATGTCTCACAGCGTCTGTGGCGTGAGAAGGTATCTGCTGGAGCCAGATCCTATTGCCACTGTGTGGGAAGATAGCAGTCCTCTACCATCTTCCATTCTTCTCCTGGGCTCCTCATGATTGTCTAACAACAGAATTTAGCACTATACTTTAGAACTGACATTTTCAGCCAGCTAGTTTGTTTGTGCGTACGTGCATGCATATGTTGGCAGCAAAAAGAGCTAGCCTCTAACACATTGCTAACAAACCCGGCATCCCCAGTGCAGTGAAACAAAAAAATTGGGCAGCACTATAGCTGGTGGAGACATCAGCCTTTACCAAACACATTGTATATAGAGGCCTCATCACTGAGCTGAACTGACTGAACTCATTTAGTCGAGTGCTGGCTGAGCATATTTAAGTTGACAGCTTCAGCCCCTCCCCTCCCCTCTTCTCTCTCTCTCTCTCTCTCTCTCTCTCTCTCTCTCTCTCTCTCTCTCTCTCTCTCTCTCTCTCTCTTTCGCTCTCTTTCTAACCCACTGCTTCTTTCTCTGTCTCTCTGTCTGTTTCTCTCTCTCGCTCTCTTTCTCCCTACCTATCTCTCTCTCTCTCTCTCTCTCTCTCTCTCTCTCAGACACACACATACACACACACACACACACAGACAGTCTCTGATGAAGATGAAAGTTTAATACCATGGCCCTGATTTTTAAAAGGTCACAAATGGTGTCTCAGCAGGGTCAAAGCATTCCCCGCGGGAAGGTCTTCCGGGTCGGACTGGTGGTCGGGTTCACATTGCTTGGCGGGTGTCTGGGGTAGGTGGGAGGAGGATGGCGGGAGAGTGGAATGGAGAGGGGGAGATAGGGGGAGAATGGGGGAGGCAGGGACATTGAAATTAAGCAGCTAGAAGAGGGGATAGGTATGGGCAGAGGGGGGAGGAGGAGTGGAGAGAGGAGAAAGAGGGGGGGAAGGGAGAGGGGGAGAGGGGTGGGTGGGGGAGGAAGGGACATGGAAATGAATGAGCTAATTAGTTCCACTGGATGTTGAAATCTAAACCTCTCACACACACACACACACACACACACACACACATACATACACACACACACACACACACACACACACCAGCCGATTTATGGTAAATCCGCCGTCTGCAGTGGCCGTGCAGCATTTACGGTGATGCGGCCTCCACAGAAGTCAGAGCATTCATACTTCTTGCGCTTCCGGGAGCAGAGCAGAGCGGAGTGTGTGCTAACAGGTTAAGCATGTTGGGACAGTAACCAAAAGGTTGCTGGTTCAAATCCCCGAACCAACTAGGTGAAAAATCTGCCGATGTGCCCTTGAGCAAGGCACTTAACCCTAATTGCTCCTGTAAGTCTTGTCTGCTAAATGACTAAAATGTAAATGTAATGTAAAACGCATCACTCGTAGTGATTAAGGGCTAATCTCTATAGCCAGCCAGCTAATTACGAGCAACTGGCTAAACAAAAAGACAAGACCTTACCTCTTCTCTTCTGAGATGGTGGAGCCCTCCGTATTGTTACAAAATTTGGGAGGCGCATGGCATCGCTGTACGGAGCTCAATTTGGGCTCTGCAAGCCTCCAGATGCTCTACAATTGCATCACACCCTCCGTACGAAACCTCTGCACTGCGTTGCCGGATGAAGCATAAATCACTAACACAAAGCCACACGGAAATTGAATATTGATGACGATTTGAAAATAGAGAAAATGACCTAGAGAGCAGAGATCAATACTGTTCTATTTTCCATAGACCAAGACCAAGTCTGACCGTCCAATACATTTCCGACTGGGATTTACTGCAACGCTCTACATGCATGCCTTGTAGTTGATGTTGATGAAATGCAGAAGGATCTGTAATTGTTACAGTAATAATCTATTGTAATGTTCGTATTGTAGCATACATTGCACTCTCCTAGTAACATCATAGTTGTATGTCTACAGACATACATTCAGCTAATTGTAAGTTACCCAATGTCGGCAGACATCCTAACCTGAGTGACGTCTGAGAGGTGATACCAAGACAAGGCACCTGTCATCTGATTAGAATGCATGGGGGGTGGGGTCTAGGGTTGCTGTGGGAAGGTCTATGGTTGCTATGGGATGGTCTAGGGTTGCTATGGTGACGACCCCTTGCACCTGGGTGTCAGGTGAGATCAGACAGGTTCAGGTGTCAGGCGTGTTATCTGGGAAAACACCAGTGTAGTCTACAGCTTAATACAGTAACAGGGTTACTATTTACCATAAAGGTACGGCTACTGCTTACATTAGGTTTCTGGTAGTTAGACTGTGACTGTGTCCCAAATGGCACCCTGTTCCCTTTATAGTGCCCTACTTTTGACCAGAGCCCTGCTCAAATGCAGTGCACTATATAGGGAATAGAGTGCCATTTGGGACACAGACTATGTGTTACTTCCTGAGTTGCCATGAGTAGATTGGAAAAAACAGAGAAATATCAGTTTTTGGTTTCTCAAGTTGGCCAAATGTCCAGGTGATTTTTGTGACCTTGGTTCTGTGAAGGAGGGAACAAGACATCACCATATGGGAAATTGGTTGCACGCTTCGGTGGCATATTGTTCCCATATGGTGACGCCAAGTAATCGACTGAAAGAAAGCTATATTTATCTATGGCTGTGGTAGTAAGGACTATACTGTAGTATGTCGTCATTGTCTAAGGTTTGAGATTAAAGCTGAAAGCAACAAGGAACCCCAGATAGATATTAAGCACTCTAAGTACACATAGGGATTACAGAGAAATGCATCAGGGATTTAAACATATTCATAAATCATTACTAAAAAGTGGTTCATTTATTTATAGTTAATGTCGAGTGACATTCATCCACTGAAAGTGCACAATGCATCCTCTGAAAATGTGTTAATATTCTGAATTAGTTAGTATATGTACTACATATACAGTTCTCTACAGAGTAAACCTTCCCGCCCGCAAGCTATTTTCATTTCCATTTCCTCCCCCTCAAGTTCAGTATTTGTAAGTGTATTATTTCAGTGTATTATTTCGGTGTATTATTTCAGTGTATTATTTCTATCATTGATGTGTTATTGTTTGTCTGTACAGTGTCTTATCTGACGGTTCTTCCGATGATGAATGTGGGAGCAGTCTAACCAGACAGTAAGTCAGTGAGGTAAACAGAGAGAGAGATTAGGTTTTGATTTAGACTAGACGAAATCTACAGTACTCGGTCTGTCTCACTAGGAATAATGTGCTGTGTGTGTGTGTGCATGCGTGCATGTGTGCGCGTCCGTACGTGTTCATTCTCATCAACGACAGGGCAATATTTGAAAAAGGCTTTCAGAGGAGAGGAAGGAAGAGTTTTGTTGTCCTCCATCCTCTCGTCTTGTCTATGTTGCTGTCTCTGTGTTGTGCCCAGTGTTTTACGCCAAGGGGAAAATTACTCTCTGACCTGAATCATCCCAAACAACTGCCTCTCTCTTCATTTCTCTCCTTTTCTCCCTCATGCTCTCTCTCTCTCTTGTTCCGTCTTTCTCTCTCCCTTTCTTCCTCGTTCTGTCTCTCTCACTTTCTTTCTCTCTGCCTCTCTCCCTCCAGGCTCAACAATACGCTGTCTTGTGTTTACATGTAGTCTGGCCAAAAAACAAACCCAAGCCTAGCAGCAGTCTCTCTTTCCTTCTATCTGTATTACACCGCCTCTCCTGCCCTCAGACCAGGAACTTGTGATTGACTTATTGACAATGTGATATGCAATTCAAGTCAGAAACAGCAACAATTGTTCAATGTATTACGCAACTAGTAGTAATTGTATTTACAGATCACTATATCTCTGCTACAATGTATACAACACTGGCTTTTGTAAAGACTTGAGAAGATTGCATGGATAGCCTATTCTGAAGGTGATAGCTTCTGAAAGGAAATGCCTGCAGCACAGTTTTGTAGTTGCAGTAGCAGGACACAATCCTTGAAGGCAGCAGCAGGCAGGTGTGTTCTCCTTTAAACATGCAGGCTAGATAATTGAAGTGGGAGCCTCAGTCTTGCCTAGGCGAGGTGTTGGAGGAGGGCACATGCAGTACCGGGTCTGTCCTCTAGGAACAGGGCTGTTTAAAAGGCACCATTTCTGAAGTCAGAACAACTGGGCATGTTTTCATAGTCTGCCACCGTAACGGCCCTCATGTACAGAGAGACTCCTCTCTCTCTTCCTGTCCTTCTCTCCCTCTCTGTCTCCATCCTTCCCTCTCTCCACCTCTCTGTCTCTCTCTATCCTTCTCTCCTCTGCCCTTTACCTGTCTCAACTTACTCCATCTGTCTTGCAGCAAGCCCCATACAGGAAGATACTTCATTTCAGCAGAATGATATTAAACCATATAAGAGAAATATGACTGCTATGATTTATGTCTACCATTAGCAGGTAGCAGGTTACCATTGTGCTCTCCATAGGAAGTCTGCTAGCATGGAGACCTCGACTGAGGGTCATATGTATTGGGTTTTTATGATGCATGCGTTCGAGTATGAGGAGAACATTATGGGATAGCTGATATGGTGACTCATAGATATATTACCGTGGCGACTGGATTAGATTGATCGGCCTCTCTGTCCTGTCTTCTCATGGGAGGTGATGTCATAGCCTACTTCTCATGTTTATTTGGGTCATTGTGTAATTCCTTTTGTGCCTCTAACATGATTCAAGACTTGCAGGGTATGAAGGGATCATAATTATGTCATGTTTTAACCGTCAAATATGATAGATTATACAGTTGGCTTCCTGTTTGTGTCAATGATTTGTGGAGTCCATCAATAATCTCTTTGTGGGTTGTGCGTTTGATTCCCATCCAGGACATACAGTACACGTTTCACCGTTAATGTCGTAGACTCTACACTTCTATAAGTTTTGGATAAGAGGTTTGAATATAACACAAACTTACATCCATCCTGTTTCTCTTCTACCTCCAGCGAGAGAAGAGAATGTGGCAACGTTCCGTGGTTCGGAGTACTTCTGCTACGACCTGTCCCAGAACCCCATCCAGTCCTCCAGCGATGAGATCACGCTGTCCTTCAAGACGTGGCAGAGGAATGGTCTCTTACTCCACACGGGGAAGTCTGCCGACTACGTCAACCTGGCCCTAAAGGACGGGGCGGTGAGCCTGGTCATCAACCTGGGCTCGGGGGCCTTCGAGGCCATCGTGGAGCCCGTCAACGGGAAGTTCAACGACAACGGCTGGCACGACATCAAGGTCACACGCAACCTCAGACAGGTAACCATGGAGACTGAGGTGACGTAGGTTCAAGACTGATATTGATTAGTAGCAATAGATCAATTGATTGATAGTAATGTCTTGGCTTTATTTGTCCATTAATGCTTTTCCAAGTATTCTATGTGCTGAACATAGTTGATAGTCGTTACGGATGTTGCATCGGTAATCACACTTCTATTATGAATTATAATATTGAGTAATCGTTTAGGTTAGATGTTGTAAGATTAATGTTTTCCCTCTCTTTGAATTTATGTATTATAATGGGTTGGTTTATTTCTACAGCACCTTTTCCAAGTGCCCTAATAAGCAATTTAGATAGTTGTCGACAATGTTGTGTTGATACATATTATGAGAGAGGCATTATGACTTAATGTAGTATTGAGTTATCATCAGTACAGTTAAATAGTGTTTCCCCTCTATTTGACTTCCTAGCAGCCAGTGACTATGTGAATAAAAGAAGCCCAGATGACATAGTGATTGATAGCTTAGTGGTGGAGCTGACACGGTGGCTCTGTGTTTCTGTCACTTCCTTATCTTCCTGTTGAACTTGAAGACTTCCCTATTTCCTTCATTGAAACTTATCTGATACTTCTCTGCTTTTATTCTCCACTAAGCGGACCCTTCTATCAGAGGCTGGGTCACGTTGCCTTCAGAAACTATCTTTCCTTTACAAACCACTGTAGGATTATCTTCTCCTCTGTAAATATACAGAAACTACAAGGCAGAGTTTAAGACATCCTACTCTGAACAATTGCAGGGACTTTGTGTGACTGACAGTAGCCTACAGATGACAAATTGGAAATAAGTTTCAGATCAGTGGAGCATCTTCTTCAAATAGTATAAATATATGTTCAAATGGCCACTGATAGGATCTCAATTGTCACTTTGTCCTTTATGTTGCTCCTCAACTTAGATTGTTTACAATACTTCTGTTCATAAGGATGGTATACACTAATACTGGTATCGGATACTTAAGCAATAAGGCCAGAGGAGGTGTGGTATATGGCCAATATATCACGGCTAAGGGCTGTTCTTAGGTACAACGCAACGCAGAGTGCATGGACACAGCCCTTAGCCGTGGTATTTTGGACATATATCACAAACCCCCGAGGTACCTTTTTGCTATTATAAACTGGTTACCAACGTAATTAGAGCAGTAAAAATAAATGTTTTGTCACACCCGTGGAATACCACGGCTGTCAGACAATCAGCATTCAGGGCTCGACCCACCCAGTTTATAATGCACTATAATAACAGTATTACTACTTAACTAAACTTTAAGAGGCAGGGCATGTATTGTACTGTACACTGGATATGTACTGGTAACTGTACACACTAGAGCAGAAACAATGAGCGAACTGGTAGCTGTTTGTGAATGTAGAGAGGGAGTGGGATTTGGGTCTCCAGCCAGTTGAATGGAGCCTTGAATGGAGGTGCAGAGAGGTAGACAAGAAGTAATTACAACTCAACTTAAAAAATTAGTATTTAAAAAATATATAATAATACTTGAGGAATATACACTGAGTGTACAAAGCATTAGGTACACCTGCTCTTTCCATGACATAGACTTACCAGGTGAAAGCTATGATCCCTTATTGATGTCACTTGTTAAATCCACTTCAAATAGTGTAGATGAAGGAGAAGAGACCTGTGGAATGCTAGAGTCCATGCCCTGACGAATTGAGGCTGTTCTGAGGGCAAAAGGGGGTGCAACTCAATATTAGGAAGGTGTTCTTAATGTTTTGTCCACTCAGTGTATACTTGTACTGTAAGAGTGAAAGCGCTATGAGAGAAACAGTAGCTGAGAACTGTTTGTGGTGTGGAGAGGGAGTGGGCAGGGAGTTTCCTCAGCCAATAGAATGGAGCCTTGAATGGAGGTGAAGAGAGGTGGACAAGTAAGTAAAGTGTTAATTTCCTGCCACTAACAGGTAGCCCACTAGCTACCTACAGCTGAAGGAACACTGAGACCAGAGGCTGAGCTAGGGTCCTCTTTTCCTCCTCTCTATCTCTCTCTACTTCCTCTCTGTCTCTCTCTTTCTTTCCCTTTCCGTCATTCTCCCTCTCTTTGGGAAGACACACTTTGTTAGACTAACACTTACCATTCATGAAATACTAAGTCATTTTATTTACTTACTAACTAACCGTTATCTAACTAACAACTAACTAATGTACTAACTATCATCCTACATCATTGGTTTTTATTTTGTTTTCCCATCCCTTATTAACAACCGTTTTGTTCACTATTCTTTTGATTTCCTTTCTTCCCCCTTTTCCGGAAAGCAATCAGGCATGGGACACGCTATGGTAAACAAACTACATTGTCTGGTAGATATCATTCTAATTGTCTTTTTTTGGATTTGCCGTGTGTCCCCCCCCCCCCCCCCCCCCCCCCCCCCCCCCCTCTTCTTTTTCTTTGTATACTTTGAGTTTCATCCTAGACACTTCTTATCAAAAAATGAGGAAATGGGTTTGTATTACCAACAGCTTTCTTCACTTCTCAATATCCTCCCCATCCTTGGCCTCCCAACTTCCCTCCTCCCACACCCACTCCCTCTCCTATTTTTTCACTCCGGCTTTTTTTTTCTTTTTTTTTTTCTCATCGCTACAAAGTTCGCAGAAGTTCTACGAGTCTCAAAAGAACCACCAGATCTGACTTTTGATATTTTGTCAGGGATACATAAAAAAATGTTTTTCCACCAAATAAAAACCTCCACATTTTTGGTGAGTACTGTCGCCAAGAACTGACAGAAGCTCTGCCACAAACCAAACAAGAAGAGTGACTTATTCTTCAACTAGCAGCAGCCAAACTGCAGTCCAGACTGTAAAACACCAAACAGAGACAAAATGGCATCCAAAAGACAAAATGGCGACCGTTTCTTTGCTGGAGCTCTGACAGTTGTTTCCAACACACTCAGTCTGGCACATGGCATGCCCACCACCGCTCATAAACGCCCTTTCACCTCCTGACCTGTGGCATCATATGACCTTTACCCTCTCTTTACCCCCTCACCCATAACCACTAACACTTTAACACGTTCACTCACCTTCCCCCTATCACTCACTATCACTGTCCTATCCCCCCATCCCGTCCCTGTGTGTTGTGTTTGTAACATGCTGGTGACAGTGGTGTCTGTGTGTTGTGGCTAACATTAGTCCCTCCCCCTCCCAATCCCCTTGACTTGATTGGTGCATGAGCCCTGTATCCCGATTGGCTTGATCATGCTTTGTATGACATCGTCAAATCATTTATACCCCTTACATGTCAAACTTACTTGTGTTTTTATTAACTTCTGAAAAATTAAAAACCTTGGTTTGCACATTTGTGAAGTTGTGTGATAATCCTCCCTATATAATGCATGTGTGTGTATAAGAGCGAGCGTGCGTGACAGAGAGAGAGCGAGAGAGAGAGAGAGTGTTTGTGTGTGTGTGTGTGTGTGTGTGTTAGTGACTGTTTGTAGTTACAAATTGAACCCTGAAACCTAAGACAAGTACAAGCAATTTGTCCTTGGCAATTTGTCCATTTTACTAACCCTCCCCCAACCTGAACTATCCAAACCGAACGAGAATCCATTCTCTTACCCCCATCAAAGATAAAGAAAATATGCCTCTGCTCTGACATATTTTCTTTACCTGTCCTGTGAACCCTACCTATGACTAAAGCAATTAAAAGATCCCAAAACGCAGTCTAATCCAAACTATCGCTCCAAGGCACCAACGCTACTAGCCCAGATGATCTCAAGTGAATTCCTAACTGAATGTAAGAAACAACAGATATCTAGACACCAAGTCATAGCAGACCAAGAAGAGAGGTGTATGTATCCTATTGAATAGAGTGTTTTACCTCAGAGTGTAATGGTTTGGCTTTGGTATGCGTTACCCCTATAACAGGTGACTATCTCCGTGGATGGGATCCTCACCACGACAGGGTATACCCAGGAAGACTACACCATGCTGGGGTCTGATGACTTCTTCTACGTGGGTGGGAGTCCTAGTACGGCTGATCTGCCTGGTTCTCCCGTCAGCAACAACTTCATGGGCTGTCTGAAAGAGGTAGGTTTACGTTGGGGGTACACTCACACGTGCGAGCGTGCAAGCACTCACAAACGCAAACATGCTAGGGTGGTTGTACAGATGCACACACACGCACAAACACACACACACACAAACACAGCATCCACATCCACTTAGCTAGTCAGAGCAGTTGAATTAAATATGTCAAATCAGCATGGCTTTCCTCCGCTAAGCAACAGCAGCAGTGATGACAAATGAAATTGCATTATCAATGAAAGCTGCAGAGTTGGCAGACAGAGGAAGAAGTGCTCGGCAGCCATTCAATATTCCTCAGCTTAATCTAATTCACAACATTCACAGCAGTTGTGTGAGAAAATGGCCCCCAAAATAGTTCCTGTCATATGTCATTTGCAGACTCAGTTTGACTGTAGTACAGCAGTGGGATACTGTAAGACTACGCCAGACCTAATGTTCAATAACAAGAAAGGGAATTTTGGTGTGATAAGGCTATTATTATTATTATTATAAGACACAATGTATTGTTGTTGTTTTAGGATATTTAAAATGTACGCTCTGACCTCCTAGGCATTTTAGGGTTTTAGGGTTTAGATAAAATTCCTTCCTCTTCAAAACGTGTCAGCCATTACTTGTGCTCACATCACCATGATACTGCATTCTTTAATTATTATTGTTTTACCCCGTTTTTCGTGATATCCAATTACGATCTTGTCTCACGAAAGGTCGAGTCATGCATCCTCCGAAACATGACCCACCAAACCGCGCTCCTTAACACCGGCAGGCTTAACCCGGAAGCCAGCTGTACCAATGTGTCGGAGGAAACACCGTTCAACTGACAACCGAAGTCAGCCTGCAGGCACACAGCCCGCCACATGGAGTCACTAGAGCGCGATAAGACAAGTAAATCTCCCCCGGCCAAACCCTCCCCTGCCCGGACGACGATGGGCCAAATTGTGCGCCGCCCAATGGGACTCCCGGTCACGGCCGGTTGTGACACAGCCTGGGATCGAACCCGGGTCTGTAGTGTCGCATCAAACACTGTGATGCAGTGCCTTAGACCACTGCGCCACTCGGGAGGCCGACACAGCACTCTCGCACGTGAAATGATGGTGATCATCTGGAATTAATTGTCTTTGTCCATTGCACTCTGGGCTGAAATTATCTTTAAATCTGTATCCTTTTTCTCTTCCTTGGGGCATCTTTAATCTATCATTCTCCATCCTCTCATCTTCATACAGACATTTGATAAACCTGCAAGTGTGGTATTCAGTTCTCATTATCACAAACGCTCCTCTCCCAAAGGACATCTATTTACCATTGAAAGAGAGGATGGCAATTGAACCATTGCAAAGCCATTTAGCGGAAAATAAGAGAACTATTCAGATGATAAAATGGGTTCATCTTGCTCTCACTCTTCAGAAGGAAGACTAAAGCTACATCCCAAAAGCCATATGGAGCTGGTCAAAAGCAGCACACTAAATAGGGAATAGGGTGCCATTTGGGATGCAGACGAAGAGAGTCTAATTGTGTGATGATGTGCTGATTACAGTGATGTGGAGGAGGTTGACCTTTAGAATGCTGTAAATGCCATCATTCTGTTCTGTAGGCCATTGGGTATTATGTAACAAGTAGCTATTTATAATGCTATAATGATACAGCAGCAACTATATTATACTTTGATTATGATGTGAATGTTTAACAGATGCGTTTAACCAGAGATCCATAGTTAAGACTGTACAGTATTCAGCATATTGTACGGACCTCAACCCAACACCTAGCAACCTCAACAGGTTTGGACCGCTTGGCGTAACGGTAAAGGTGTTGGATGGACAGTCGCTGGACCCCCCCAAATTTGCTACAATATGTTGGGAATGAAAACCAAGCAAGTGGCCATGTGGAGTAGCTCGCTATAATGATACAGCGGTACAATGGAGATCAGCTATATACTACAGTATAATAATTGAATGTGGTCATTTAGCGGAAGCTTTTAGCAGAGTATGGGGATGCACAGTTTATACATACTGTATATTCTGTGTATGTAGGCTATGGGGGAATCAAACAACTCTGGTTTTGAAGTACCATGCTCAAATCAACTGAGCCATAGGATCCTCAGTCTAGTTTTATCCAATATAAACATATCCCAATAATAAACTCCCATTTACTGGATATAAAATCCAAGTGCCACAGTGTGACTTTTAAACAGGCTATCGTTGTCCCCTCTACGAGAAACCTTGGAGTAATTGTACCAGTGGCTGAGTGTCATTAGGAAGCTAAAGGAAAGGGTACAACCATATTAGGAGCGTCCTGGTAATGAGGGGAGGAGTTGGAACGCTCAGTCAAACCGATAAGACTAGAGACAAGGTGACTTTACTCTGTGTGTGTTGACTGGGCAGGAGGTAGGGATCTCAGTATGAGGGGCAGGGTGTGAGGGAGGCGTTCTGCCTGTCCAAATAATCACCCAAATTAGTGTCTTTGTTCAGCTGGGTCAAGGGCAGGCCCAGCATCGAGAGGTGACTGTCAGAGCCCAGCCTGGCAGACCTTAAATGGGCAATCTGCAGTTCGAACAATAAGCATTACCCCGCCACTGATTTGGTAAACATCTGAGTGATGGGACTGGAGAAATGTAACCACTCAGAGCTATTGATACAGGGACTGACCATCCATGATCTCAATATTGTTGAGGCTATACAGTGTTTTGCATTTACAAATGAGTGAAATAAGCTCATGAGGTTTGATTGGGTGCGACAGTTGAAATTAGCTGAGGAATTTAAGTTATTTGTTTAAAAATGGATATAGCAACTGCTCCTTTAACATTCTGTAGCAGAGAGCAACGGGACAGTAGGACACAGTCCACTTATACCTCTGAAATGACCGTGCCTGCTTAGAATGTTAGATACTTTAAGGCACTAGTTGGGAGAAATGTCATTACCTTATATCAGGACATTATCCTCTAACACTTCCATGCAAATTGTACAGTTGGCTAACCTCCTGGATGCATTTTCAGCATCTGTATCAGCAAAGTAAAGCTGTCCAGGGGCAGCCTGGCATGTCAGGCAAATGCCAGATGGGCTGGTCCATTTTTAGCCCAGTGAGCCTGTCTAACTTGTTTTGTGCACAAAACCATTCTGGTTAATGAGTAGAGGAAAAAATTAAAGGGCCAGTGTTAAAAATACCAGTGCCAATTTCTGGTTCGTCAGACCCTATATATAGCGCTGGCATAACCAGAGTTCTTCACATTGCAAGCCCAATTTTCCTAGGAATTCCCTGTAACTTGATCAGGAACCTTGGGACTTGTGAACCAGAGTCACATTAAGCCAGGACTGGATATTCAGATCATGGATCTGAAGAGTTGGGCTAGCATTGAATCTGCACTCAACATATTTTACCTGTACATAACCCCCACACCAAAGGAGATGATCCTAAAGCAGGCATTCACATTAACAAATTAAGGCAATATTTTAGATTACTCTAGCATATAGTGCATAACGGTAAAAACTGAAACTCGTTGTCAAAGAAGCTTTAAATAATTTATTTCACAAGGTTAACAGTCCTCTTTGGTTGACCTTGTTCTTTTGAGATATCTGATTGAGCAGGTCTCCTTAGTGTTTGGTGGCCTCTTCACAGGTTGTGCACCTCATCAGGAGCAGATGGTGCGGAGGTCATTTGGTAGTTCTCGGGTCAACCTTGTGTAGGACTTCAGGACTTGAATCACCACCCTCCGTGAGTTGGTGAGCTGCTGCTTGGAGCTAGACTAAGTGGCCACCACAGCAACACCTTCCAGTTCTGTAAACAGAAAAGTGTTAGTGGACTGGGAACATTTCATAACTGCTTTGTGAAACCACAAAAGCTCTGATATGTGATAGTGACACTTGCAGGTTGACATTTATTGGGACGAGTCTTGTCCTGGAGGGAAAACTGAGCGATTTCCACTAGATGTGCCAGCTGCAAAGTCAAAATTGACTACATAGTAAAACTTAAATGAACCAAAAGCAGCTTTTTGGTCTTAATTTAAAGGTTAGGCATTAGGTTTAAGAGCATATTTCATGATTTGGGCTGTGACAGCTAGTGACCACTCTGCAGAGCGGAGTCATCCCAAAAAACGCTAACCTGCTTGCTAAATAGTGTAATGTGCAGGTTCCTTCCCTCTAAAAACAATACCATGATCCCATGCATACCTTTACCATGGGTTCCAATGTTAAACCGATCCTTGTCATGCTTCTCGTCGCCTAGATCTTCAATCAGACCCTCTTTCTCTGTGGTAATCTTTGCTCCAATGGGCTCCAGCTCTGAGAACAGACCATTTAGCACAGAGCCTATATGCAGTTATTATACATGCAAACCAGTAAAGAATGTAATTACCTCTTTGGCCAATCAGTTCTTTCTGCCTGATGAAGCCATCATATGTTGCAGAGCTAACGAAACCATGCTTGTTGGGTCCAACCTTCAGGCCCAAAGGACTACCCGCATTTTCAGATTGGCCGAAATAAGGTCCTGGAATTAAATGTAACAGATTAACACAGCTAGCCTGTATAGATATGAAAATACAATTATCCAAAATGGCACCCTATAGTGCACTACTTTTGACTAGCGCCTCATGGGCTGGGCAATAGGCTAGACATCACGGTTGCCTTCTACAATTCAAATTTACTGGCTTAACTGGTCTGTAAGTAATACATCAGTTTGGCATAGAGGAAGTAACTGCCTTATCCGCTTGAATAAAAAAACAATAGTTAGCAAGATGGAGCAGAGGTTATTTTTAATTAGTGCATTTCACAGGTGGCTAGTTTGCATTAACTACAGTCACTAAAACCACTGCAAAGGTATTGCCTGCTAAATGTGGTTTCAAATCGAGACTGGCATGTCTGCCTTGTGATTTGTTGAGTCATCCGTCTGAAAATGTCCCTCATCGAAGTTGCCGAAAGTGTCAGTCAATTAACTAGACCCTAGTCACTGTTGCCTAGGGTCAGGTTTTCAAAACACTGGTCAAAGGTTGTGCACTACATAAGACAGTCAAAGAACCTCTCTTGAAGGCCATTCCACTCTTCCAACGACTGCCAGGTGATACAGGCCTCGCGTCTCTTGTAGCGGAGGGGAAGCCATTTATATGGACACCTTCCTTCGTGCGTGGAGATAGAGGTGTACTCTTTTGTTGGGTTGGGAAGACCATCATGGGGCCCAAAGAAGCATCCTGTTCCAACACTAAAATTACATTGTCATTAAACACATGCAAGGCAAACTTCTCACCAACACACTTGCAGTCAAGACACTTTCAATTAGTCTTTCCTCAATTCCTTGCATCCCATCAGCCATATTGGAGCAGAAGGTCCCTCCCCTCAGACCCTATTCTGCAATGCATTTTGAGAAGAATACAGGGATTAGGATGCCAAATATACCCTTCTTGGCTTTCATCCCACGCCAACGGTCACCAGAGGCTGGGGGTTTGCTGCGGTAACCACGAGGTTCAGGTCGGCTACTGCCCAATCTGTCACCGAGGGGACGTTGTGCTGGAGCAACCCACTTCTGGCTCGTCAGACTTGGACAACGGCCACATAGCAAATCATTCTCGTCGGCAGACTTCCACCTGAAATGGATGAAAGATTGACTAATGTACCAAGTACACCATTTTAACAAATACTATGGTATGCCAGTGGATAGGTCACAGCCCACTAAGCGTAGCTAAGTCAGATCTCAGACCTGCCATCGATGAAGGAGCATGCCTTGTTGCTAGGCTCTGCATGGTCCATGACAGGGACTGCAATAAGGTGGCATGTGATGTACAGCTGTAAAAACAAAGATAAAGTCATTATGTAGGCTACTGTGATGCTGAAAGTTATTTTACTGTAGCATCATGTTCCAACTGCAGTACCCATAATGCACTCTACAACATCACTGGTTTTAAAAAATTGCCCTCACCTCTGCCCTATCCTCTTGGTGGAACCTAAAGGCATCAATGTGGAATCGGAGCTTGTCGTCCTGGGTTCTACGCATGAACCTAGAGTTGGAGCCAGGCAACTGGGAATCCATCAAGCACCTGGATGGGAGATAATATAAAATGCATATTGAGGTATTAGTTCAACTTCCTTGGTACCAAACAAATAACCCTCCAAGCGCCATTTGGGGAAAATATGCTCATATAGGGACAACTGGAGAACACTCATTCTAGGTAGGCACTTTAGGTTACTAGGACATTTCCTCACCCATCATTCTCAATGAAGACGTATCTGGGGACAGAGTTCCAGTCAGGGTCCAGTGTTGCCACGCAGCTGCTAACAAAGACCCTGAGCCTGCTGTGGTGCGCGAGCCTGACAGACACCTCCACGTTGATGGGATCACCCATGAAGTAGACTCCCAAACCCTGCTCATAGAGCCAGTCACCTGGACAAGAAGTGGCATTATTGACAGAAGGTTATCCCAAAAATGGACTGAATGAGCCTAACTTTACTCCTTATGGTCCAAGGACCTTACATGTGTTGAGGCAAATTGGCTCGGGCAGCCAAAAACGCCATCTAAGCGTGATTAGATTCTCAATTGCAGTATAGTTCTATAAAACAAAGCCCCCTGTCAGATCACATCAAAATAATTTCACAACTGCAATACACACTTAATATTTTTCAGTGGCAACACGTTTGTTGAGTCCATCTTCCGCTTACATAGGTGTTCACAGATGCAGATAGCTAATTAGCACAGGTACGCCCTTGTCTTCCATCATTTATGCGAACAAGCGATGTAACATGGAAATATGGCCGTATAAAGGTGTAGCAGTTTAACCTTTTGAAAATTATTTCACTGATATGAACGATACAGTCCTTATGTTTCCAATACCATACCGCAAGCGATGAGTTAACATGCAGCCCTGGTTTCCCAATTGAACTTAGGCTTACTGAGTGTTTTAAGGATGCATCTTTCCTACAATGGCGGAAGCTGTAACATGCGTTCCCAAAACACCATGCAGAGAGAACGTACCGATAGGATCTTACCAGAACGAGTGTTGGGGAACTTAACAAAACTACCCCGGCCAGAAAATACTATGAAGTATTTAAAAGGTATAAGACGGAGGGGTTTGTTAACAGGGCCATATTTAGTAGGCGAACTGTGTAGAATGTTGCAGATAGAAATGCTACCAATAAGTGTCTGGTGTGATTTTATATTCTGCATGTCAGAGAGGCATGTGTTGCATGGTATATATTTCCATCTGAACATTCAATGCAGCCCAGGATTTATATACCCACTTGTCATGAGCATCAAGGAGAACTGCAGGGCGTCTTCAGCAGACACTGTGGCGGTAAAGGGGATCCAGGTCGACTGGAGAGAGGCACTGTTCAAATTGTACTTCCTGAAACAAAAATCACAGAGTTAAAGCAAGCCAACCAATAGGGCTACGCAGGACTATGATCACCATACAACAGTATAGCCTAACCTTTCAAATTGACACTCAATTGGAATTACAGCACCATCCATTTGAATAACCCCATCTGGAGTGATTCTGGGTATATATCTGAGGTGGTTAGTGTAGATCAAGGAGTCTTTGTTCATCTGTGGATTCACAAAGCAGAATCTGAGAAGGTCATTCCAAGAAGTCAACTACTGAAACAGTATCACCATACATACCAAATGCTTGGTTCCACAGTCCGATAGCGCTGCAAATATTCTGTACTCATCTCCGGCTGCTGACACTGTAGCCTTACAAGGCTCTTGGTCTTGGTACTGTTCAACTCCAAGGCGCAGGTCATCCACGTCGATAAGAGTACCAATTTTAAACAAATCAGCATTCACGACTATCTCCATGTAGTCTGAATGGCATGTCACAGCGACCGTTTTCACTACAACTGGTCTGGAAACGGTTTGTTGGTGAAGTTGATGCTGTTTTAAGGGCAGATGATTGCCAAATTGCAGCAGTCGGCTTGGAAGTTGTCGTTGCCATGTGTCAGTGCTGGAAGTATGAGTAAAAGCAGGACAGATTAAGTTTCCCACCAGTATAAACAAAGCCAGTTGCTTTAACATTACCCCGAGAGTGGTTGCCATTGTGAGTCCCATGCCAACAACTAACGTGAATCTGTAGGTTAGAGGTGCAGCAGCCTCTGCTATGCTAGAAAGATGAAACTGAGGTAGATTTTAACAACCATCCAAGCTGCACACCTGGGCTGGATTAGGCCCTAATTGGGCCTTGCATCTGATTAGTCATGATCTTTAATTGGCACACATATTGGGCACGTTCTTCTGCCCAGGAGTTGCTGATGCATGGCAGATTTTACAACACCTTGATAGGTATTTTACGTATCAGCTAACCACATCATATGTTTTAGCAATCTGTCAGTCGATGACACAGTCGATGACGTGGCACGCAACCATTGGTTGATGCATGCAACATCTGAGCAGGGGAACACAACCATTATCTGTGCCGCTCCATGTTGGATAAGGTCGCGTTCCCCTGCTCAAATATTGCATGCATCAACCAATGGTTGCGCGCTACGTCATCGACTGTGCCGTCGGGCACCAGATTGCTATAACATATGATGTGTTAGCTGATAGGTATTTTACCTATCTAGGCATTGTAAGATCTGGCATGCGTCAGCAACGCCTGGGCAGAGGAACGCCCCCTTAAGTGTTCTCAGGAACCACATCCATATGGTATCCATATGATACAGTGGAGGCTGCTGAGGGGAGGATGGCTCGGAACGGCGCGAATGGAGTGGCATCAAACCATGTGTTTGATGTATTGGATACCATTCCACCAATTCCGGTCCAGCCATTACCGCGAGCCCGTCTCCCCAATCAAGGTGCCACCAACCTCCTGTGATATGATATAGCAATCTTCTGAGCTGTACAGTCCGACTGCAATAAAGAGGACATGTGGTATGATTCTGATGATTTGTCACCGCAGATGGTTTGTTTACGTTTCTAGCATTGTGGCTGGATGGAGTAGGCCTACAGCTCCATCTAGTAGTCGCGTCGGGGCCAACAGTTGTTGACAACTGTAGCATTGTAGCTAAGCCTAAAAGCCAATTTATACTTGAACCGAGGCATGCAGAGGCCAAATCAAGCTCTGTACCACATCGCTGTGCGCCTCTCAAATGTTGTAACAATGTGGAGGGCTCCGCATTGACATGATTGGTTGACGGTAGCTGGGGGCAGTACATCCTGTATAAACACAAACTCACTTCCTTGACAACTTCCTTCACAACAGCTCTGCTCTGCTCCGCTAAGCACAAGAAGTATGAAAGCCCTGACATCTGCAGAGGCTGCATCGCAGTATATGCTGTATGGCCACTTCAGATCCCGGATTGACCATGCAGAGCCTTTAACCCTAACCCTTTGCCTAACCTTAACCTCAGTCACCTAACCTGCTACGCTAATTCACCTATCCTGCTGCGTTAGTTCTCCTAACCTGCCACGTTAATTCACTAACTTGCTACGTTAATTATCCTAACCTGCTATGTAAACAAACCATCTGTGCTGACAAATCGTCAGTATCACCATACTGGTGCTTTCTTCGATGCCAAGTTGCTTTCAAACACCGACCTCTACTGGACACATTATTGACAACTGCACTTTTCGTCACATACCACCTGAACAGTAGCTTATTAGGTAGGGTCAAGGATTAGGAACTAATCAGATACCACAGGAACAGGATTCCTGGCTATGTGCAGACATTTTTTTCCGGTGAAACCACACTATCTGCCCCCCAAAAAATGACAGGCAAAAAGGTACGCAGAATGTGGGATGCGAACCTCACATTCAAACTAACTTTAGTGTATTCATATTCACACCTATCCATTTCACCACAAAGTTTTGATGGAAGTAGCGAAACATTTTTTACTTCAATATAAACATCAAACATGCTGATGTATATCCCTGACCAACAGTCACTAATGTGCAATGTGTTAAAAGCTTTGACTAATTAACTGTTTTTCGGCACAATTTGGTGAAAGCCCCAAAGGCTTCAGAAAATCTCGGTTTCCCATCACTACCAAAAACAAGTTGTGTAACTATAATGTGTCATTTCCTCCAACGTGGTCAAAGCAGCAACAGGGTGTGTCTGAAAAATCACAAACACCCTTTTGTTCATCGGTAGCTCAACACCGTCGACAGGGATTGGTCCAAGGACGTCTTTTTTTTTTTACCCCCAATTTCAATTTTGATCTTGTCTCATCGCTGCAACTCCCCAACGGGCTCGGGAGAGGCGAAGGTCGAGTCATGCGTCCTCCAAAACATGACCTGCCAAACCGCGCTCCTTAACACCCGCCCGCTTAACCCAGAAGCACCAATGTGTCGGAGGAAACACCATTCAACTGACGAAGTGAGCCTGCAGGTGCCCAGCCCGCCACAAGAGCACGATGAGCCAAGTAAAGCCCCCTCAGCCAAACCCTCCCCTAACCCGGAACCCGCTGGGACTCCCGGTCACGGCCGGTTGTGACACAGCCTGGGATCGAACCCAGGTCTGTAGTGATGCCTTAGACCACTGCACCACTTGGGAGGCCCCCTGTGGATGTCTTTGATCCAACTTCTGGACTAATCAGCAGCTGATATGTTGAATAATTGAATAATGAAAGAGTCTCTCATTCTGAGCATAGGCTTGAGTTCAGAATTCAAGTTTTATATTAAAAACAACAATAACCATATACTCTAATAAAAGTGGTTAACACACACACACAGACACACACACACAAGCATTTCGCTACACCCGCAAAAACATCTGTTAAATATGTGTATGTGACCAATAACATTTGATTTGATTTGAAATGTGCATAATATAAATAATCTTCACGCTTGTTGATAGATCATGTACAGTCAAATGTGTAAATCACCTCTTACCCTGATTATTCAACATCACTAGGATGAAGCATCAGCAGTAAAACACGGTCCATTTACCATAGTTGGACTTGTTTGCACTTGACCCTTGACCCTTGATGTTATATTGTTAGAGTAGTTAAGAAGTCCTCCATAGCATCTAGTTCCAGATTCCTTACTCAACTGAAAAATCCATCTAATTGGGCTGGCAAATTAATAGACAGGGACATTTTCAGCACAGCTAGAAATCAAACAAAAACTTTTTTCATTTCATGATATGACTTACACTGCCTACAGTAGCCCTCAAACAGCATCAACTTGAACATTGCACAGACTTAAGGGTGATTCCAGGCCAGCATGGCCTGAAAATATTTTTGGTATCTCAGATTGTTCTAGCAATTCTCAGATAGAAACATTATGGGAGGAAGGATGTTTGCCATGCTTTTGACATTTGTAACACAAACAATAAAAAAAATAATCATGACGAAAGTGACCATTTTAGGACTATACATGCCCTCCGTGAATGTACATGATACAGACAACACCTTGGTGTCATTACTGTACACTGCTAATACTGTGCTCTGAAAATATGGAGTAACACTACATTCTGAAATACAATTTTACACATACATTTATTCAACATTAATTACCCCGGGTTTTGAATTCTGAGAGCCATTTTGTTCTGTTCCGTGACCTAAGAACAGGTGTATTCATTAGTCTTATTCCATTGCAAAATGTTTTGTCTGTTGCAAAATGTTTTGCAACGGAAACCATTTACTTCAAACGTAAAACATTTTGTAACGAAAATGAGAGTTTGTAATGGACAAATTCAGGTAGGCCAAGTTATCGTTACTCATTGTGTATTGAATATTACTTTTCTATTATTTCTCTATTTTCTTTCTCTCTGTATTGTTGGGAAGCGCCCGTAAGTAAGCATCTCACTGTTTGTCTACACCTGTTGTTTATGAAGCATGTGACAAATAAAATGTGATTTGAGGCCCCTCCCTGTTCCGTTCCGTTTGCTCTGTTTGCTTCCATTTGGTTCCTAGAGTAAACGGTAAACGGTTTGAATACCAACTAATGAATACACCCCTGTTCATCTGGAGACAAATGGCGGCCATTGTTGTAGAGGTCAGTGTTTATCGACATGATCATAGTCGCCTCAGTACATTCTACACGGACAGTGGAAGTCCCAATTGACGGCAATCCTTGCCGTTCTTCAAAATGCTTCAGTGTAACTTTATATTCTCTCTCCTCTGCATTTATCATCAGTCGCTCTTTTAAACAAGCCAATGCAGTTTGCTACACTAAATGCAGCTTGCTACACTAAATGCCAACGACAAAATGAACACCTCAAAGACAATGAGTTCATACATCCTCATACTGTTCTTCAACAGCAACATATGTAAAAGAAAACAATAGAAAGCGATTAAGAAATAGACAGTGGGTTCTTCAAGGAAAAAACACTCTCCTAATCTATAAACCCTCCAGTCAATACAAAGAACAAAGAGTCCAATTGTATTTGATGAGGGAGAAAATATTCAGATACCTTAAATGTTTCATTAAACCAATGCTGGTGTGCGTGAAGGCTTTTGTTCCAGCAAGCAGTAACATACCTGATAGCAATCAAGTTTACTTCAAATGTTACTATATTATATATACTGTATATATATAATATTTTACTGTATTTTACTTTAAATAAAGACTATGGTTGTTAGAATCCTGTGAGTTGCTGACTGGCATTCTTCTGCCTACAAGGTCCGTAGGGTTCAGGGCCCGTATTCACATAGCTTCTTAGATTTAAGCTTCGTTCACACTGGTAGTTTGAAGTGACTCAACTCCAATTTTTTTGCATATCCGATTAGAATCTGTTCTTTTTCCTGCAGTCTGAACACCCAAAAAGCACATGGAATCTGATATTTCAAGCCACCTTTGTAGGTGGTTTGAAGTCAGATACAAATCTGATTCCTGGCCATGCGACTTGTCTGAACAGTCAAATCTGATTTATTTGCCCTCAAGTGTATATATATATATATATATATATATATATATATATACAGTGGGGAGAACAAGTATTTGATACACTGCCGATTTTGCAGGTTTTCCTACTTACAAAGCATGTAGAGGTCTGTAATTTTTATCATAGGTACACTTCAACTGTGAGAGACGGAATCTAAAACAAAAATCCAGAAAATCACATTGTATGATTTTTAAGTAATTAATTTGCATTTTATTGCATTACATAAGTATTTGATCACCTACCAACCAGTAAGAATTCCGGCTCTCACAGACCTGTTA